GTGCACGAGAAACGCCGCGAGAATTTTACGTTTAGGAATAATTTTACATTAATTCTATCTAAATTCTGTAAAAAAACAACAATAAAAAAGCCTTAATAAACACTCAGACTTTTGTTTGATAACCCTGGTAGTTGAACCACTTAAATCTAAAAAAAAAAAAATAAAAAAAAAAAAAGTTGAAATGCCTGAGCGTTGTACAGACGGTGTTTTTGTTATTGTTGCTGTTAGTTGTTATTGTTTTGTTGTTCTTATTATTGTTATTGTTGTTATTTTTTCTCACTGTTTATGTTATTGTCATTTTTCTTATTATTCTTATCTCTGCTGTTGTTATTTCTTTTAAATTTATTGTTATTAGTAGCCTAACTTAACCTAATCTAACTTAACGTAACGTAACGTAACCTAAACACAATAAAACTCAATTAGTTCCTTATTATTATTACTCTCTTAGCATTTCCACAGCTATTTCAAGGCATAACTAAACTACCCTATATTTAACTACTTATATTATTACCATTTATATCTATCCTATAATTTAGTAATTTATATAGAAATAATAAATTTTATAGGAAGCATCTCTCTGTGTTTATTGGGCATATGACGTAATGATCGTTTAAACTCCGGATCCCCTAAATTGACAACTCCGGTGTCATAGAAAACATGACGGCTCGAGGGTTAATTTAAGGGTAGACTAAACTGAGATTTTCTGTCGCAAGGAGGAAGGAAATTTGAGGTATTTACGATGGTATGTTTATTTTGATGTTAATGTTGATGTTTATTACTATTTTGTATATGTAGTTAGAGATGATACGAGAGATAACGTCAATAAATTTCCTCAGTTTAAGAAGAAAAACAAGAAATTTCCCCAGTTAGAGGAAAGCAAGATAAATTCCTCCAGTTAGGGAAAGAAAATACCAATAATTCCCTCAATTAAAGAGAAAAAACAAGATAAATTCCCCCAATAAAGTATAAAACACCAATATTTCCCCCAGTTAAAGTGACAAAACACAATCTACCGCCATTTTGAGACAAGGAGAGATTGACAGACACACACTTGACACACTAACTCCTTATCTTATCACGTGATCGCCCTTGAGCTGCCTGAGGCTGTGTTCACCTGGGCTGTCATTCTACCTTATCGTGTGTCATGTATGGTAGTGAAGTTATGGTAGAGGGAAGGGTATGGTAATGGGGTTAGGGTATGGTAGTTATGTATGGGGAGGGTTATGGTGGTTAGGTTAGGGTATGGTGGTGGGGTTAGGTTAATGGCGCATGGTAGGGTTATGGTGAGGTTAGGGTATGGTAGTGATGTGTTAATGGGGTTATGGTGAGGTTAGGGTATGGTAGTGATGTATTAATAGGGTTATGGTGAGGTTAAGGTATGGTAGTGACATATGGTGAGGTTAGAGTATGATAATGGTGCTGATAGTGAATTATAGATGCGTAAAGGCGTATAACTAACTCATGATTATAGTATCGTGAGGGTATAATAATCAGGCATGATAGACACTTATAACAATACAAGTATAACTCACAACCTTAACAACAACAACACGATAATTAATAAACAACAAGAACAATAACTTTACCTTAATATCAGTATAATTATCAAAGACGACGACGATGATGATGATGATGATGATGATGATGATGACGCTTCAATGATGACATCCTAATCTAATCTGACCACTTGTCAAACCTTGAAATAGTCATCGTCCTCTTCAACACAAACCTGGAAATAATTTGTGTTAGATTAGGATCATATTGTCAAGAGGTGTCCAACAGGAAGTCATCTCATTCTGGCAACACTGAAAGATAATCACAGTGTTAAGATAAATGACTTAAGATGGAAAAATGTCACCTGTCTGTCTGTCTGTCTGTCAATGTCCTGTTACTGCCATGTCGATAAAGGTTTTTTTGTGTATTTTTTATATTTTGTTAATAATTTATGAATAAACTTTAAAATAAACTTGTGTTGTATAATGAAGAGTGACTCGTTTATTTACCTGTGTTGTACGTGTCTGGTTCACCTGTTATGTAAAGATAACAGGTATGCATTAATATAGATCACCTGATGATTAGCCACCCAATTATATCACCTGAAGATTAACCACCCTAATGCTAATCTAATATAACCACATACTGTAAAACTTAAACTAACCTACCGTAACTTTACCTAACCTACCGTAACTTTACCTAACCTAATCTACCGTAACATAACCTAACTCCCCTAAGTAGAATTAGGTTAGGTCAAGTCAGGTTAGGTTAAGTTTGTTTAGGTTTTGGGTTAGGTTAGGTCAGGTTAGATTAGGCTATTACCAATCAAATTAGTCGTTCTCGTTCAACTGGATACACCTGTTGCGTTACACCTCACCAGGAACCAGATTACCTTCCTAAACCTGTACAGGTATGTCACACAGGTGTTAACGAATGACATCAACTTGATCTAATACCTTTTTGACCACACGTTTATTTAATAGTTCTTCGAGTGTATTCGGTAATGACAGGCTGATGCTAAATTTGTAATATATTAATAAAAAAGAATTATACTTATTGTAATATTTAGGATTAAAAACGACATTTGAAAAGATATAGTTTCAATGGTTTTATTTATACTATAACTGCGTTGGCTATATACATGCTGAACCAATTATAATCTTGTATGGTGATTTCACTGAATATATATTATTATTATTATTATTATTATTATTATTATTATTATTATTATTATTATTATTATTATTATTATTATTATTATAGAACAAAAGTGTCCATTACATCAATTAGCTAAATCAGTTACTTATGCTTAAAAAAATTTACGAAAACATTATATACTGTACACTGGCATCAAGTGATCTCTCTGTCATTTAACTTGCCATCTCTCTCTCTCACACACTCATGTTTCTCTTACTCCTTCACTCATTATCATTCTACACACTTACTGTACATGTTAGCTGTGTCCGTCTCTTGGCCACACACACACACCAAACTTCATTCTCTCTTACCTCATCCACAACGCCCTAGATTTCACTATCACATGAAGATTAACCACCCTAACGCTAACCTAACCTATCCCAATATAATCTAACTTGACTTAAACTAATCTAATACTATTCTAATCTAACCCAAACCCCAGATAAAGTTGGGGTGTTTGATCAGGTCAAATAAACTGGGGTGGTTAATCACCAGGTGATTTAATTCCACTAATGACTAGATTACCTAATATTGGTTTAACTCTTCTGAATTCTCTTATAAAAATACCTGTACTAATAATGTTATTGTGTTATATTATATTTATATTTATCTATCAAGGTTTAAGGATTTATTATACTGAAATACTTACAAGATAACTCAGTAGTACCACACACACACACACACACCACAATTATATACACATGCAAGCTTCCCCACATGATGACTTACACACACACACACACACACACACAATTATATACATGCAAACTTCCCACATGATGACTTACACACACACACACACACACCACAATTATATACACAAGCTTTATGATGACACACACACACACACACCACAATTATATACACATGATGACTTACACACACACACACACACCACAATTATATACACACACAGCATTCCCACATGATGACTTACGTACACACACACACACACACACACCACAATTATATACAAGCTTCCCACATATGATGACTTACGTACACACACGCACACACACACACCACAATTATATACACATGCAAGCTTCCCCACATGATGACTTACACACACACACACACACCACAATTATATACACATGCAAGCTTCCCCACATGATGACTTATGTACACGCACACACACACACACAGTTAAAATCTTCTCTCCGTTACCCGACATAAGACAAAAATACAATGTAATTACTGTACAATGGCCTCCTCCTCCTCTTCTCCCCTTGTGTGTATAGTTTACCGTCATTCTTTATTATTTGTACATTGTTCCGTAAATAACTGTTGCGTGTATATTTTTCTGGGTTAGATATCTCTCTCACACACACACACACACACACACACGTACACATTGATTAAAAAACATACACGTACTGTCTATATATGTAAGATGACCTTTGACTCGTGGACTTGAGTACTATAAACGAGCATTATTGTTATTGAGAGTTATAATGGAAAACTGTGCAGGAAATGAGGTTATGATATGATGCTCTGGGCTACGTATAACGACTTGTAATAACTTATAGTCTGACTTGCGCAAAGAACTTGAACTGTTGAGGTGTTCTAGATTCTGACAGGTCTTACACACACACACACACTGTAGTTAAGTATCTCACTTTGCAGCGATGTTGTTGGTAATTTCTACGGTATATTAACTTCATGTTTTCAAGTACATTTAATCGTATCTTGTTAAAACTCAGAGTTAATACTTGTTGTCTGGCATCTAGGTAAAGTTTATCTCGTGTCTATATAAAGTTTATTGTCTTGGTGAGGTGTAGAATGACAAGTAAAACTTACAACTGTGGAAACTCTATCCCGTTAGCTGAACTTTGTATATAGACATCAACAAGAAATAAGAACAAAGTTGAATGTTTTGTTTATTCCAATGCTGTAATGAGATCAATGGTCAAATAGGGCATCAGAGACTAGATAAGATATACTTGTAATACGAGATATAACAGTACTCGTTATAATAGTTTGGGTCACGCACTGTGCACCCACCAAGGTTTGTTGACACGACAACCTCCGTTTTCTTTCATTTACCAAAGTATAAGTAACACCATCCTACACTCATAAAGTGAATCCAATTCCTTATACCGGATTAAGAAAGACTAGGATAAAATAATCTGCTGTTTATAGAGAATCTATGTGATCCTATTTTATTAATTAAAGGGAAAAAATGAGGGGAAGTAAGTGGATTCCTGCGTTTATATCTTATACGATGCAAAACATTGAGACATCTGTGTAGATGAGGCAAGTGGTTCACTATAGGTGAGTCGAGGAGGAATTTATCTACAAGTAAATGTGGCCAGAACAACTTTATATAACGTGTTCAGTGTCCTGGCACACGTGAAGGTCATCCAGTAGCATTTAATGAACAGGTAGAGGCGTGAGTTAGTGGTGTAAAGATGCGGGTGTCGAGGTAATTCCCATCATAATATCATCATGGGTCTCGGGAGATAGGTAAGATGACCTTAGTAAGCGTAACACAGCTAAAATAAACATATATATACAGTATATATATGTACATGGGATTATACATATGTTGTTAATGTATTGGGGTTGTGAGCTTGAAGAAGTTGTTGATGACGTTATGGTTATTTAAATATTTAAATCTCTTGAAGGTATTTAAAGAGATAAATCAAAGATGTCAATCATTTTGTCTTAAATATAGTAACACTATGTAACCAAATTTCTTCATCACAAACCATAATGTGTCTCAGTGAATAAAAGTAAAGCAAAGTAAAGTAAGGCATATACTGTACTCTGGTAATACTTAACAAGCTTCTCTAGACTAAGATATTTTGGGGACTATTCTTGATGAAATATTTGTTACTTTAAGGGGTAATAAACAACTTTTGAATTACCACATGAATAATATTGAGTTTCTTGTTATTTGTTTATTTAATATTTCCTCATGGAGACTGTGGAACTAAGCCATTGATGAAAGGTTAAGGAGAGGGATGCCACCTTTTCTGACATTGGTTGATTTGTATCTTATATTTTAGTTTATTGAACAAGTTTATCACGAAGAAAGAAAATAGTGCTGAAAAAAGTGTACAATAGTGAATAATGAATATATAGTAGTGAATAATGACATGGTTTTATTTATATATTTTTTTTCAGGTGAAGAATGTAAATTTGGCTACCTGAACCCTATACACAAGATGAAACCCAACTTTCGATGGAAGGAGGGCGGAGCCAGGAGACCAACCTTACCTAACAGCAGATCAACAAGTTCACAACGGGAAAATATTGTACAAACTAATATAACAAAAAGAATAACTACAGTATATCCTCCACGTAATGACTTGTCGGGTATAATAGCTCCTACGCCTCGAGAATGTTCGGAACCTGAAGAAGGGAGTAGTTTGTGCTCATGTAGTTCAAAATCACTGACTTGTAGAACTAGAAGGGGGAGCTGCAGGTGGACTCGGAGGTGGAGGGGGAAGTGGAGGTGTGACTGGAGGATCGGTCTCGGTGTGGTGTTGGTGTTGTGTGCGTTGAGTCGGGCAACCCACGGAGCTCTCGACACAACCTACTCGAGTAACGGTGATGATTCTGACGGCGAGGAGAATATAATGTTCGCGGCGAGGAGACTTAGTAGCGTAACGGAGGCTAGTTATATAAACGACGTGGATCAGGAGGGTGCGTCGAGCGGTGACGAGGAACGGTTGCCAAACAGACCGACAGAGGGGCCGTGCGGTGAGACTCACGGCCAACAAGTGAAGATACAATACTCGTCCAGCATTGTGGAAAATGGTAAATAAAGATATTTTTCGTCTTTCTGATAATTATATAACATTGATCATATTACAGGATATATTCAAGATTATCACTATACATCACCATAATCATGCTAAGTACTATCATTGTCCAACAGCTACAGGCATGATATAATACTTTTACAATACAATTACTCTACATACTCGTAAATTATCAGAATTACTCACAATAATCAAGATACTACAACATACATTCCCTGGAGATGGTCAGTCACATAACTGTCAGAGAAACATTATATAATTGGTAGTTAATTCACTACACGAAAGCAGCCAAGTTTAAACAGCCATATTACAGCACTGAGTTGGACAATAACATCATAATTACAGTGTGTCTTTAGATTTCTGATAGTCTTGAGAAAAGGGACTGGCTGGCTTTACCCGACATTCTAAACAGGTTCAAGGAAATAGTTCACTGTAGCTGCATTTATGTGTCGAATCATGATATTACCCAATCATGACCAATCACCATTTTTTTTATGAATATATTAGCCAATCCAGCCATTAGAGATTATGTATGAGTGGTACTGGATGTAATGTATGGGATTCAATATTCTAACTTAGTGTTGAAGACCCTTATATGTATCCTGCATGTATTCTGTTCTTATATAGTTGGTTCCTGTTACTCTGTGGTGGCTGGAGACGAGAGCAACACAGACTCGACCATTTTCCATCATTCATTGTTACAGTAATTACTAACCTTCATAATATAATGGAAGTAATGAAGGACTGTACTTGACATAGGGTAGTAAAGGGCATCTGGTCTCTTTATATGTCTTACTAACTGAGTTAATGATACAGTATTAAGATATGTTACACGTCATAAGGTCAGCCTCATGACATACAGCAGTATACGGTATCTAACAGCAACTGAGAGGTGGAAAGTGTAGTTAATGTGTAAGATATTTGACTCTGCCCTCAGAATACATCGTAGCTTTTAAGGGATACTACAGACAGGAAGCACGAGAACGCTTCATCCAGGCCGCATTAAATGAATCGAACGTTGTACGGTGGCAGGTGCTGCCACGAGACAACCCTGCCAGCGACTACCCCAGTGACTTTGATGTCGTCCAGGTACTGTACGATGATTTAGAATAATTATGAACTTTTCCTCCATCCTCTGTATAACTTTAAGTGACTAATAATATCTAATGTTATTGTTAAAGATCGTTAATGACCTATTCCCAAGGGATTTTTGTCAGCATGAGGAAGTTTTAGTATTGTGAAGGAACAGAATCTTCAGTGTTTCCTTGTAAAAGTCGACTATGTAGGTATAGTAGTGTGCCACACATGCACATATACCTTGTAAGTGTCTCTGTAAGTCAGGTTTGAAATATAGTTCAGTCGTATACATACTTGGACATTAAAATTCCTAAACGGTACTTTGTCAAATTTTTTTAAGATTCAAGAACTGCGTAAAAACGGTGGGTTGGATGCCCTCAAAGATCACCCGGCGGTGAAGAGGGTGACAGCACAACGCATGGTCATCCGACACCTTCACTTCGTCAATGACACGGACGAGGAGGCCAATTCGGACATGTGGGATGACATCCTCTTTGCAAATGTCTCGGATTCAGAAGAAAAAATAGTCATATATAACATAACAGGAACAGACACCAGAACGGTCTTAAACGATGGATCTGAACTAGACAGTGAAGCAGTGGGGAGCGACACTGACGAGATAGAGACGGATGTGGACTATGAGAGTTATCTGTCGGAGATAAATTCCAACAAGATCGAGGTGAACCCAAAGAAGGACGCGCCGTGTAGTGGGAGCGACTGTGCCCAGGCGGAGGAGAACGGCTCCTGGCCCGCCTCGAGACCTCTAAGACGCTCCTCTCTAACTCTAGTGGGTATACCTTATGTGTTTTACTCATCACGTCAATATTTCTCAAACCTTAACTTTATATTCTTCAAAATTCACACACTTGATGTGGTTATATTAAGTAGTATAAAGTGCTATGTTAGTTGATTATATACAGTACAACATTTTTTTCATCTCCAGGGAACAGCTTTTTGGCAGACAACCGGGAGGCACTCGAGCCGTCGCCTACTGCGCACTATTCCAAGACAGATCACATCAACCTTACAAGCTGATGTACTGTGGAGTATGGGCATCACAGGTGAGGTATTCCAGCCTATACTAGACTTCAAACTGTGATATAAAGATAATGTTGGAAATTTTGCCTCTCAAGTGGTGTGAACAAGATGTACAGGTGAAGAGACTCCACGGTTCAGTACTGTATCTAGGGCTAGTGAACCTGTAGAGACTGTTGTTAGGTATTTAATGATTGTAGTTTATTAGTCTTCTACATTAAATGCTCGTTAAACTAATCACTCCTCTAACCTCTTTCTTCATAACAATGTTCCTTATTGTTCATCACAGATCAGTATCAATATCAGATGATAATTTAAGTTCATGTATGTACACTGGCTCCAAAAACTATCTTTACGGAGGGGTCCAATGAATTTCAGATTGAACACTGTAACTCCTGTTGGCTCGGTAGGGTTGTCAAAATCCTTCATCTGCTGTCATATTGCCTCACACTAAGTCTTAAAGATACATTTTGGAGCGAATTTACCTTAAGAAATATATTAATCTCCTGTATATGAATTTGTTTTACACATAAAGACAGCCATTCGAGAATTTAGACTCGGCTCTATAATATTCTTATCCCATCTCAGGTGCTGGGGTGAGAGTGGCTGTATTTGACACGGGTCTGTCCAAGTCTCACCCTCATTTTAAGCGCATCAAGGAGCGTACTAACTGGACCAACGAGAAGACTCTAGACGACGGGCTGGGTCACGGTACCTTCGTGGCAGGGGTGATAGCCTCCAGCGGCAAGACTTGTCTCGGGTTTGCACCGGACGCGGAGTTACACATTTATCGTGTATTTACCAACAATCAGGTCAGAAGAGAGATTGTGATGAGTAAACATGTTGTGTATAGATCACTTGGGAATTAAAACTTATTCCCTAAGTTATAATTATATGAGTTTGAATAATGAACTGTAATTATTTATTTGTTTAATTACTCAGGTACTTTATATATAGTAGATCAATTCTACAGTACAGTAATTGAAAAACTCTTTAAAAACTAACAAAAAATTTGCCTTTTTTTTCCAAAACAAAATCTTAGGAAATTTTATTTACATTTTTCATATATAGAGAAAACACATACAGTACTGTAGTTAAATATTTGTTATCCTGTATTTGGGTTACTGTCTCTGAATATTTTTGTACCAAACACTAAATATTATATACTGTACTGTGTGTTGCAGGTATCATACACGTCTTGGTTCCTCGACGCCTTCAACTACGCAATACTGAAGAAAGTGGATGTACTGAATCTAAGCATCGGAGGACCTGACTTTATGGATCATCCGTTTGTTGACAAAGTTTGGGAGTTGACTGCCAACCGGGTGATTATGGTGTCGGCTATTGGGAATGACGGACCACTGTATGGGTACGTCAACCGGAATGGTCTCACTGTTGATGTTAGAATGCTATCCGGGTACTGACAAGCAAATAGGACCGAGAATATTCCTTTATAATAATGCAAAACTAGTAAAAATCACAATAGAACCTGTGAACTTTGTGTTTACTGCAGTGGTTAACCTTCCTCTTAGTGATCATAATACTGTAATAGGTTTTTCAGAATAGTTTGCCCAGAGCAGTTTTGACTTGCCCACTTAAAATTTACGGAACCTTTAACATAACCTGAAGATTCAACTCGCCCCCTCCTCAGCTTATTTCACCTGAGCATTAAACACCATAATGCTTCCTGGAGGACTACGTAAGTTTGATTAATCTTAAGGTGAAATAAGCTATAGCCGGTTACTCTTCAGATGATGCAGTTAATCTATAAAAAAATTACATATTAATTTTTACATTGTTTTTACTCTTAGTCACTTTTTATAAATATTTTCTATCATTAACCTCTTGTGTATGGGGTCGCCTCTGAGATGGATAAAGTTGTCCGTCGTCGGTTAGATGAAATATTAAAAGTGGCGTCCCCGTAGTGAAGGGCTTAAGCAGCGAAAAGTCTACTGTCGGTTGTTATGGTCTACTTGTGATTGGTTGCAGGACTCTCAACAACCCGGCTGACCAGATGGACGTGATTGGGGTCGGAGGCATCAATTTTGAGGACCAGATTGCGCGTTTTTCATCGAGGGGAATGACAACTTGGGAACTACCTCAGGGGTGAGTTTCAGTTCTTCAGAAAACAATAATTTATACTTATGTCAACCATTTTGTTTTTATCCTACCCACTTCCGTAGAGGATAAGACTTCTTGCCTTTCTTATTTGTGTTATGTACTGTTCCATGGGGATAAATTGTCTTTATCAGACATCTTGGATTTAGATGACTATATTAATATCTTGAACATAGAAATAATGTTCCAGTATTGATGATATATTTCTATTTATATTCATAGTATTGAAGTTAATAATATTTTCTTCATTAACAGGTACGGTCGTGTTAAGCCGGACATTGTCACATACGGCTCCCTGGTCCAAGGCTCCAGCATGGAGGGCAAGTGTCGGCAGTTGTCCGGCACTTCAGTAGCATCGCCGGTGGTGGCTGGAGCTGTGACCCTTCTTGCTAGGTGCAGTAATGTCTTGTACTTGTGATCAATACACTTATGTAAATAGAGTTATAATCCTTCAGTAACAGAAGGTGGGTTCAGCACTGTCCAATTGGAGTAGAGAATGCCCAGGGTAGTGGATGTGTCTAATATTCACAGGTACACGTTTTTACATCTATGATGAACAACAAAGTAGTATTGTACTGTACTGTGTTAATATATAAAAATTATCAATGAACTTTTCAGTGGTGTTCTGCACCGAGGAGGCATCATCAACCCCGCCAGCATGAAGCAAGCGCTGATGGCCTCAGCTAGAAGACTGCCGGGAGTCAACATGTTTGAGCAGGGACATGGCAAGCTTGACTTGGTGAAAGCATATCAAGTTCTCTCTAAATACAAGCCTCAAGCTTCCTTAAGTCCCAGCTACATAGATCTTACTGAATGTCAGTACATGTGGCCGTACTGCACACAACCTCTTTACTACGGTGCTATGCCCATCATCGTCAATGTCACAATTCTCAACGGCATGGGTGTGTCGGGACGCATTGTTGAGAAGCCAATATGGCACCCATACACACCTCAGTATGGTCACCATCTTGATATTGCTTTTACATACTCTGAGGTAAGTTGAAAGTGATTCTTCGAGTACTGTACTGTAGGAAAGATAACTTGAACGTGAATCTTGGTTCATTGCAATAATTTGTTCATGATCAACACTTATATGAACACAACTACTATTCTTTTAGCCTCCTTCTAACTTCTTCCTGTATTCTACTCAAGAAAGTTTATACATTACAGTAAACCCTTTAGATAAATAATGGGGGAAATCCTGTAAATTCAGTTATCTTTCCTGTTGGTTTTATGTTATATTAGAAGTTGTTGAAATATACTTATTTTACTGTACATACAGTATACTGTATAATAAAAACAAAAACAAATTGTTACTAAAAGAAAATTAATTAAATATATAAAACCTTAAATTAATTAGCCTGATTCACTGGTACAGGTGTTATGGCCGTGGTCGGGTCACCTGGCAGTGTGGATCACTGTAGCAGAGAGCGGCAAGGAATGGGAAGGTCTCGCTAGAGGCCATATTTCCGTCACCATTGAATCTCCTCCAGAAGAAGGGGAGACACAGCCGAGAACCTCGCACGTCAAACTCCCCGTCAAGGCCAAAATGATACCGACTCCACCGCGACACAAGCGCGTTCTATGGGACCAGTTTCACAACCTGCGTTATCCTCCGGGCTACTTCCCCAGGGACAATTTACGAATGACCAACGATCCTCTCGATTGGAATGCCGACCACATCCACACTAATTTTAAGGACATGTACCAACACCTGCGTAATAGTGGTTATTACATCGAGGTCCTGGGGTCTCCTTTTACTTGTTTTGACGCCAGCAAGTACGGCACCTTGATGGTGGTAGACCCCGAGGAAGAGTATTTCCCCGAAGAGGTGACCAAACTACGGCATGATGTTGAGAAGGGATTGTCTCTTATAGTTTTTGCTGACTGGTACAATGTCAGTGTGATGAAGAAGGTCAAGTTTTACGATGAGAACACCAAGTGAGTATTGTTATAAAAATTTACCCTTACAATCTTTATGTATCAGGGTTTTGATCATATTTGTGTTCAAGCTCTCAGTTTTTAGTCAATATATTTCATCATTTAAAGAACTTCATTATTGTTTGGATGTGGTGGTAAAAAAATATGTTCGGAGATGTATTTATGCCTCCACTGAACTAGTTAATGTATGTATTTACAGACAACTGTGGATGCCAGTCACGGGTGGCAGTAACATCCCGGCACTCAACTATCTACTGGCCTCGTGGGGTGTGGCACTGAGCGATGGCGTGTTTGAGGGCGACTTTACACTCGGTGACCACGACATGTACTACGCTACAGGCACCTCGCTGGCCCAGTTTCCCCGCGAGGGTACTGTTGTCCGCAAGACTCTCAACGACCACGCTAAGGAGATGCTGGAGGCTGAGAGTGAGAGTGTGCCGGGTCAGTCTACAATGGATCGATATATTATAAGGAATGAATGAATAATATATGGGAAAGGAGTGTTGGTTTATGAGACTTTTCACTAAGATAGTTTAGGCATATGGAGTATTTGACAGGGATTGACGTGAGAGATATACAATACGACAGTGTGTTGAAGGCAGGAAAGCTTTCTTGTCATTTTCCTCACTTGTCTTGAACCCCAGTCACTATTATTTACCCACATTAAGATTTTTGTGCTGTTAATGTAATCCTTATGAGGTAAATCTCCATCACAAGTGTTTCTGCTCTCTTACAGATGTACCGATCTTAGGACTACTGCAGACCAAGAGCACCGATGACCTGGGTGATAACAGCCTTCACCACAGCGGCCGCCTGGTGGTGTACGGGGACTCCAACTGTCTGGACAACAGCCACCTTCAGAAGGATTGTTTCTGGATGCTCGACGCCCTACTCGAGTTCACCACCACGGGACACCTGGCGGGAGTCTTTACCTCCAGCGCCGGGATGCCCGTTCCTCCGACGACAGATTTACCCACAAAGATGGAGAACAGTAACTTACACAAACACTCGAAGGTATTACTTGCACGAGACCTTAGCAAAACAGAAGCACTGCTCGCATCGTTCATAGCCTTATGCGATACGAAATGAGAATGATATTTGGGCTTCCTAAGCCATGAGGTCTGAGTTGTAGTCTGGGAAGAGAAGATATTAATGTGTTTGTTACAGAGTTAGTCATATAGCCTGTCCTACTAAGGGGAGGAGCTTTTGGTTTTATATATGGAGACAGTTAAATATAAATGAACTTACATTATATGGATAAGTGGTTTGGTCTATCCTTCAATCATGATTCCCACTACAAACATTATTTAACCTACCTCACTATAATTAACCCCCAGGATATTGAGATAAACCAGTGAAATTGTTAATATATATATACTAGAGTACCTGGTTAACCATTAAATTGTTAATATATATATATATATATATATATATATATATATATATATATATATATATATATATATATATATATATATATATATATATATATATATATATATATATATATATATATATATATATATATTAGAGTATTTGGTTGACTTTATTATCAACTACTGTGTGGAAAATACTCTCTAGGGTTATAATTGGAGTTCAAAAGAGAAAACTGAAACCGTTTTGGGTAATTTTTTCCGTGTAACTTATATTAATAACTCGTTTCTTTATCGTGATTTATTTTTTTCTGGTAAGTTATCATGACAGCTGTTTGTTTATATTGTACTAGAAGTTTACTTATACTAACAGTGATAAATAGCTCTTGATAACTCATAATAACAAAATCCTTTTAAACAGCTCTCAGAAACTAATATATAAAATATACTTATAACTGACATAATATAATAATGCTTCTATATTAACTGACATAATAAAACAATGCTTCTATACATTCTGCTTCTCATATCAGTTATCTTAAGGAAAATATGAATGTCTGTATTCTTTGGTAGGTATTATGTCTACTCCTATAGTGACTTGTAGAGCCAACAGCATGAGTCAACCCACTAAGCCATCTGCAACTAGTAGATAGTAATAGGAGTAAATCTCTCTTATTGTATGTCTTGACACCACACTGTCTCACCAGGTCATGTCTGGCACATTGGGGGCAGGGAGATGCAACTGTCCTTCGTTTCTGCCGCCTGTGCCTCATACCCGTCAAAAATATCCACTCCTCGTTCTTAACTGTCAAACTAAATGTCTGCCATGATTCTCTGTGTGTCTCTCTGTCTGTCTGTCCAGCATGCTGATCCATCACCTAATAGTGAACCCCGACCCTACAGGTAGTGGAGCACACACTGGGGATGGAACAGATGCGGCCACTGCCTGAGTGTCCCTCCCTACAGCCAGTCACACCACAGCCTCTCAATGTCTCAAACAAGAAGTAAGTGGCATAAATTGTTTACATATCCCACATTAGGAATTTAAATGCTTATAAACTTCAACTAATTGCTTAACTACATGGGGGGTTCACATCTAACGAACCCTTGATATAACACTTTCAAATCTATATAGTTCGTTTCACATCTAATGGACCCTCAATATAATGGACTTTTCTCTCCATACAGTCCATTAAGTAGGTTTAATTTATCTTTTTCTTCTTTCAGTTTTCATGTACAGTATTTACTTCACAAATTAATATAAGAAAAATTAATAAACTCATCTCGAAAATTTTTACAATTCCGCTTAAACTTTTTGAAATATATTACTAGGGTGTTGTTTCTTTATAAACACTGGTATGACTTAGAGGAAACAAATGAAGGTTCTAAAATAGGCATTAAACAGATCAAAATAACTAACTAAATTGTACATTATGCTCATGAACTTTACAGTTTTCTCGGCAACTTAGTGTTAAAAACTTGTATTAATTTCTGAAGCCTCTAGTTTAATTTTATTTTATTTTTAAACGTAATTTTTATCTCGTGTTACTAAATTTAATTGTAAAAATCCTATATATTATAAATTTTGATGGCGGGAATATTTAAATTTATATCTTTTTCCGTCTTCAGTCTAAACATCCACACGTGGTGATCTGTGGAGTAGTTTGCCCCTCATGTCACTCATGCTACAGGCAGTTAGGTTTGGTTAGGATATGATAGGATAGGATAGGTTGGTTAGGTTAGGTTAATTAGCACCCCCAGCTTATTTCACCTCATGACTAAACACTCATGCTAAAAAGGCAGTTAGGTTTGGTTAGGATATGATAGGATAGGATAGGTTAGGTTAGGTTAGGTTAATATTTTGTATTTCTCTATCATTTACTAAACTTGCTTGGACATAGATAAAAAGGATCGTGTGTTTGTGCTCACGTTATTGGTGTTTATTTTACATCATAAGGATCAAGGTTGATACCCTGGTGTGAGTGACAGAACATACAGGTGACGTTTCCACACAACGACAGATAAAATAATAAATGTGTAATTTCTGTCTTCCTTCTGTGATTTCACTATTTAACTCTACGCTTCTCGGATATTTTACTTCATAAAGACAAATCGTGGAAGTTTTTTATTATACTGTACTGTACTTCTGCCTTCAGGAATTATACCTCCCATCAAGAATTCTTTCTCTAAATACATACTCTTCTTAATGCTAACCAAGTTCATTTTGTAACTCCTGTAATACTGTATCTGTATTTGAATGATGTCACAGCAATGTTTTCTTGTGATGTGCATTACAGAGAGTGGCGATGGTACGGTTCATACGAGTTTGTAACACTCAAGTCGATGGGGGAAAGTTTATTAATGCATAAGACCTTGCCAACCTTATGGTGTCTTTTAACTAAACAGGTGAGTTAAAAATGGAGACTCGAGGTGGATCTATTATCGAGTTAAAACTTTCCGTGAAGTCTGTGAGAGATTGTGCTAGATGGAGAGAAGAGCAGAGTACATTTGACTTTACGTTAAGGGTAAATATTTTGTTACAATCTGCTACTTGAATGAACTGATGTTAGGAATAAAACTTATATAAGACCCAAATAACAGTTAATGTTCCCCAGTTGTTATATTTTGAGGGGAATTGATTTGGAGGTTCCTATGCTAAGGGAGTGTATTGCCCCGTGTTAGAAAACATACCTAAAAGGGTTGAATTGGCAGTACAGTACAGTAACGATCCCTTCTAAAGAGCGTTTCTATTGAAGAACCTTTAAGATATTACTGCAGGAGTGTCGACAGTAGTGGGTGACAAAGCTCTACAAGTGTGATGATAAAGACAATAATGAAATGTCTTGATTTACAGAGATTGGCAAGTGATTTTTTGTCTTGTGGAATTGAGAACTTGTTTTATAATACTAAGATAACACAGCACTACACTTGTAAACAAACTGGAATACCTACAGTGTGATATTTGGAAGCTGTCGTCTGTACTGCTGTAGGTTTTGCCATACATCACTACTGTATTCTACTGTATTTGAAGAAACGGGATCATGTAAGAATCTCATAGTGTCACTGAATATGATCCAGGTCTCCATTGTGGTTGAAACTTCTTATACAATATGAGTTGCGGCGTTCGTTTTGAAATTCATCGACCTCCTCCATAAAGATACTTTTTGGGGCGAGTGTGTATCAAGCCATCGTCGTCTATTGAATATTTTGGCTTTAGTAACTGTTTTCACCTGTAATAATGTATATAGTTCACACCGATTATTAATTGTTCTTTTTTTTTTTTGTACAGGTGGCATGCTAGGAACTCTCCCTTACTCCACCGAGAGGATTCCAGCATTTGCCGTCCTCTCTGTGTTGATGGTCATCCTGCTTGTGTGCTACTGGTACAGATCCCGTCATCGACCAAAACGACGACGCAACAGATTTCATAAAGTGGTGATGGCTGCTATCAATGGCCGCCTGCCATCGGTGTGACCCGCCCGCTTCAAGAATTTGGCCTAATTTTACAGTAACTTAATATATAAATAATTAATAGAGTGAATGGGTTTATTTATTATTTACATTTTGCATTACAGTATTTTGTTAATTTTGTATTTTTTAACAGTTGATAGCATCATTACTTATTTTTTTTTACGTTATTGTTGGAAGTGATAGTTCGACATTTACAGTTTTGTGTAAATTACTGTACTGTACCGGCAGAAAAAGAGTAGATTATTGTATGAAATAATTTGTTCAGTTTTAGAGTCTTCAAGTGGTTTCGTCTTTCCGTATCGTCCGACAATGAGCGATGTTAATTGTTATGTTTTCAATAATGTAAATAAGAGATTAATTCATGTAAATATACAGTACATGGAATAGATAAAAAAAAATCAAGTCTATTTTAGGCAACTAAGAAAATATAAAATATGTAATTGTCAAGTTTGATAAAATATCTTGACTAGAAATAATTTTTAGTAGAATTTTATAGTCTTTCAGGAGTGATAGTTATTGTGATAATGACATCGTTAATGGCTGCTTGAGTCGTTTGGGGGCATTTTGATCCAGTTAAACGGCTGACCTATAGGAGATGCCTTGTACTGTAATCAGGGTCAAATACACAAAGCTGACCAATCACCAGTCATGTCGCGTAACCGGAGCGGACCATTTTGGTTTAAAGTTTGGTCAGGTGAGGTTGATGACTAAGGTACTGTATGTTATTGATCTACGGATGAGTGAAGTGAGTGATATAGAACAGCCGTGTGTCACTTGAGGCTGTAGGTATTGTCCAGACAGCTATAACATGAAGCTGATATTATTGACCAACTTAACAAGCAGCTGTCAGATGAAGCTTAATAATATTGACCAATCAGCTTTAAGCTCAAGGTCACAACCATCACCCAGCAGATCAAGCTTAAGTTTTTGTATTTTAATCTCGGAAAGAACAGGTGAAAAACATGTACGTACTGTATTGATTTGCTGCCGACGTTTTTTCTGTATTTGCTAAAGCAGTCATTAACAGGTTCAGTTTGTGATTGAGGTTCGGTGTTAGGGAGTAGCAGTCAGCTGATGTGAGGTGCTCGAACATGTCCAGTGTGTGTGTGTGTGTGCAAAATGGCCTACATGTTGAAAAATATCACGAATGCGACTGTTAAACCGATAACTAATCTTTTTTTTTTTGCTGAAGTGGATGACCCAGACAATCCAATTTAACTTAATAATCCTCGACAAGATTAATTAGGTTAGGTTAGGTTATTTTAGTTTTTGTCACTTGAAAATTTTACGTGTTTGCAGCTCTGTTCGTGGTAATTATTCCTAACATAAACCATCTTGTACACACTATTTTCTCTGTCATTTGTGTGTTTCAAAAAGTTACTGAAGAAGTGAGAAAGTCAGTGCAAACTTTTTTAATAATACTCCTGTTTTAAGTTTTATGTATTATTGTAGTTTACTAGTGTGTGTGTGTGTGTGTGTGTGTGTGTGTGTGTGTGTGTGTGCCAGTAATATTTAAGTAAATTTTTGTGTTGGTTTACAAGAGAAAAAATATTAAATAACAGATTTATTATGTAAATTTAACCCTTTAGAGACGATTCCACGACCCTAGCGATCCTGCCCAGACAATTCCCATGACTCTTATGATTTTTACCGCCTGCACATGAACAATAATACAGTACACAATTATATAGGTCCTTAGCCAGCCTACCGTGTACAAAAATTTACCCGGTGAAAATTATTAAATAATATATAAGTATTGCAAGTGAATTGATTATCAGAATTATACTAAAATTATCATAGTTACTGATAATCCTAAACATATTCTATCCTCAATAAAGCCCAGAAGATTGTCGCTAAAGGATCAGGCCTTCGGATTGGTTGTTACGGCTTCGTTTTTTATGGAATTAGATTTATTTTGAGTGTAAGAATGAACGTAGACTGAAGCGAAAACAGTAATTGTAGTAAATATGAAGGGCGAGTGATTTTGTTGAACTTCCTCCCACACAAGAGAACAATACAGTATTTTAATTATGTACTTTAGTGTACTCTGGCCGTGGTTGTGTGTGTGTGTGTGTGTTTGTGTGTTCGTTCACCTGGGATATTTGTAATACTAGTTTTAATTTTTTTTGTAACCAAAGAAACAATATGTAAACTGAGTTGATAAAGAAAAATAGCTTCAACTCTTGCATGCTCTTATTTTGTATTCAAGATTGTGATGTAGTTAGGTAGCACGTAGACCCTAGTAAACGTTAAGTTGTTGTCAACTCTATGATGTGAACGTTAGTAGCGTTTGGAGTTTGTCTTTAGTATGGCCAATGTGTATTCTCATAGCATTTATTATCACACAAGTGGGTTAATAAGTCAATTTATCATACTGGTTTATTATTATTATTATCACACAAATAGGATAAAAAAGTCGATGTATAAGCCGGGTTTACGAGGTTACGATAAACCCGGGCGGTCATTAATAGTTTAAACACGTGACCAAATATTATTAGACACCACAAGACAAATCCAAATTGTACCTCATATATTTTGTATCTCGAGCAATATCTATTTTATAAAGGTACGGTGTGTGTAAGTTTAGTACATGTCTTTGTTATTCCTTATTGAGGCTTAATCCCAGAACTGCCCATATATTTCTATAGTCTTTGTTCTAGGAGTTTTTTTTATATAATAATGATAAAAACTGATAGGTTACAATCATGCTTTGGAACTGAATGTCAACAGATTCTGAGACAGTCTTGTTTTTTCTCCGTTTAATAATAAGTTTATTTTCTCCCTAATTCACTGTTAGCGTCTGAATATTGTAATTATATCCGCCATTGATAAACAAAACCTTCCAGATGGATTACATTTATTGAAGATTATTTCAATGTGTTACTGAAATATGTCATTAGTCACAGATCTTAAACCCTTCACTATGGGGACGCCACTTTTCATAGTTTATTCGGTCAACACAAGATGATTTTATTTTAGCCCAGAGCTGGCCCCATGCATGAGAGGTTGAGCGACGGGTTGCCGGCGGATAGTACTGCGCAAACTGTTGTTATTGGTGAAGAAGTCTAGCTCGGAATATGAAAAACTTTTGTATTTTTTATTTCTCCAGTTTTTCCTTCCCTTTATAGACAAAATTAAGACCAAACACAGAATTTTCCTTGACTGGTTATTATGTGTTCCTCAAACTGCCTTAACTGTACTGTATATCTAACTGGTTTATTCCTGTTACTTCACACAACCAAAGTAACACATGTGATAAGGTACAACACATTATTATTGTTATTTATTATTATTAGTTGTAGTAATATATCTGATTTTGGAGCCAGATATTCTACTCTAGTGTGGGTATTTATGGTACTGCTCTGTGGTGTATGCCATCAATATACAGCGTCACACTTAAAGCTTTGCCTCAGGCCAGTGTCTTGGGTATATACTGCTGATTGGGTTTAAATGATGTTATGTGTAAATTAATTAAAGAACTGTGTATACCCTTGAATGTTATCCTGTGTATTTTTTTTTACTGCCAAATTGTGTGTTAGATGCTGTTGATATGTGCAGGATGGTCTTAAGTGTACGTACAGTTGACAATAAAAGACCTGTCTCCTCTTCTATTGCTTCATGAACCCTGAGATTCAGACTCGTGAACCCTAAGCATTTATGGACAAAATACTGCATCAGTCTACTGCTTCGGGTTCATGAGAGTGAATCCCATGGTTCATGAAGGAACTAGAGGAGACAGGACTTTTGTTTGTGACTGTTCCTATGTTTACAATTGTTAAAATGGATAATATTTCACAAATTAAAGATAAAAATGGTGGTTGGAATGTATTGATAAAACAAACAACGAATTACTATATCAGTGAAAGAAACGAGCATTAGAGTGATTTATACGAGTTCCTATGACTTTGACTGTTCTGAGGGTTTATAAGGGAAGCCAAAGTGTGAGTTAAATAGGACATTAAAGACGATAATTAGACTCTTGGTATAACATCGTACAGAACCTTCTTTACGGAGACGAGGAATGAATACCCAAATTACTGAAGACGACGAGAGATAGACAAGCCGATGGTCCTCTGAGGTGTTTGAGAGATATGTAAGCAAGATAATATTATACTATATTGTGACTTTCTGAACATTGGTATTACAGCAACTGTCCAAAAATTAGAATTACAATTATTAGCTGGAATAAAATGCCATAAATCATAATATTGTTACTTATTTTCTGTAAGATTGTAATTAGTTTTCAATGGTTTTCTGCAATTTGTTAAAGGTCTGAGGTGAGAGTAACAGATGTTTCTTATGAATGGATCACGTAAAAAAAAAATCTGTTAAAACGTTTCATTGGGATTTATCTTGGGAAATAAATCTTCTGTATTTAGATTCTGTGTACAAAAGAAAATTCTGAAATATTTGTACTGTCCTGTAATCATTCATTGTTTTAATTCTGAACTATCACATGTGTTTGTTTTAAGGCAAATTAATGTACTGTATTCACATAAATATATACACTGTATCCTATTTAAGTATGTAAGAATATGATTGGTGACCTTTTCAGCAGTAATGGTATCAGGTTAGAGTTAGGTATTAAGATTGCATTTGGTTTACTTGAAGGTTTGGTGACTGTAGCATTTCAGAGATTAGTTCGACAGTTAGTACGTAGTTTGATGATGCTTCGTGCGTGTGTGTGTGTGTGTCTGTCTGTGTGTGCGTGTGTGTGTGAGTGGTATATACTGTACTGTATCATTGTTCAATACTCAAGGTCAAGTTATTCTATGGTCAGTTTTTTATTATTTGTTTATTTTTCTACTGTACTTGGTAATTCTCCTCCCATGTTGGTTTGAGTCCATATGATGTACTCAGACTGTCGTGGGAGTCTATGTTTGAGGCCTCCTGAATTACTGTAATTTGTAATGTCATCTTTGTAAATAAATCTCTCATCATTGTAGCATCATTATGGTAATACACTGATCTTATTTTCAGAACGAGGGTTTTTATTTATACATTATTTATTCAACGTTGACGATGGTATATTATTCAGTGTAGAAGTGAGGAGGGTATGAGGGCTAAGGGAAGACAAAAACTGAGATGGGATGAATGGAGTTAATATCTCCTTGACTTATTCACTATACACTTCCAACAACAAAGACAACCACACTGTCATACACCTCTCTACATCCCACTAAAGTACAGTACACACCTTCACCATACGGTACTACACCTCTCACAATACACTACACATCTTACCATACACAGTCATCCCTCTCTACCATCATTATACACTCCCAATAATGCACTACACTCACCATACACACTACACTAGTATAAGACATCACACAGACATTGATAGTAAACTGCTGTAAGATGGTGAAAATGATAGTACAGTTTAAAGTAGCAGACGATTACTGACAAAACGTATAAATTAGAGAAACGTAAAGTAGTGTCAAGTTAAGTAATACAAGGAAGTAAAGTATAGTTAAATAATAGTATCCCCATGTAAGTTTATCCACAGAAAATGGTTTAAGATATCCGGTAGGGGATACTTATATATTCTCGTAAGGTTTCATTTAAATTTTTTTTAAAGTTAGAACCTCCCTTTTTATTCTAATATTTAATGAGAAAATAAGATAATTAAATTTGTTTTTAGTTTAGTTATACATCTACACTGTTTATGTTTTCGTTGAATTAATGTGAATGTCTAGTGGTTGATACACTCAAACAATTAGGTCTAATTAGCCCAATCACAGACAAGGAATTGATGTAGATATTTATTCAGTAAAAAACCGACATTGTAACAAAACAGATATCGCAAAAACAGTAAAAAATAATAATTATAAAAAACATACTGCAGAGACATATAGTATAGTAAAAAAAATAAGTATTGTAAAAATGTGATAAAATGCAGATATCGTAAAACAAATAAATATCGCAAAAACAAGAGAAAGAGAGATAAAAGAGGGAATTACGAAGCCATCAGTTGATGTGTTCCCTGAGTAAAATTGTCCGCGACCGTGTCAAAGGAAACACTACACCTCTTTCTCTTTCTCTCTCTCTCTCTCTCTCTTTCTCTCAACTCTCTCTGTTCCTCTCTTTTTCTCTCTCTCAGCCTCAGTGCTAAGATCTGGCTGGACCACCCAAATAAGGCAAAATTTTAATCTAATCTTGTCTTAGTTTGTTACAGGAAGATTTGACGACAGTTTCTTGAGAGAGAGAGAGAGAGAGAGAGAGAAATGCCTCCCCTCAACAACAGAAGCACATTAAGGTGACAATTACTCAGGGGATCTTTAATAGCGTATTTTCAAGATCCGAGGCTCAACCAAGCAACAGGTGTGTGTGTGTGTGTGTGTGTGTGTGTCTTTCTCTCACACACTGACACACATCCATACATACACTCTCGCCTCTTCTCCATACCCCCCCCTACACACACACACACACCCTTCACCTCTTCACACACCCACACACACACACCCTTCACCTCTCCACACACCCACACACCCTTCACCTCTACACACACACCCACACACTCTTCACCTCTCCACCCACACACCCTTCACCTCTCCACACACACACCCTTCACCTCTCCACACACCCACACACCCTTCACCTCTACACACACACCCACACACTCTTCACCTCGCCACACACACACCCTTACCTCCCCCCTACACATCTCCCTCCTCACCATCTAACGCCAGCACCACCGTTCAACAAAGCCTGGCGATCACTCCTCTTACCCTCATACCTGTATTAGCACTAATACTGTCCACCTGTTAAGTCCACCTTCACAATGTAATCAGATACCTTACCATACCACATGTATTAAAAGGGTTTTATTACTAACTTTAATAATAATTGTTGACTTGAATTATTTAAGAAGTGTAATTATTCACTCGTAAATTATCATGGAATTATCGTCTACTCTCTCTCTCTCTCTCTCATTCCTGTATATTTAGTTAACTCTTTCTCTCTCATTCCTGTACTTCACTCTCTCTCTCTCACTCTTGTAAATCTAGTGCTCTCTCTCTCTCTCTCTCTCCACGGTATGTCCTACAGGATGTTGTCCTGGGGGGGCAGGCATCAAAGAGCCAGCCAGCGAGGGCCACACAGCTTCAGTCTGGCTCCTACCGGCACGCTGGCCACACACACACACACATACACACACACACACGCAACGCCCGCGCGCCTCTTACCACCTCATCTCCGTGCTTCTGCCGTGCGTTCAACTAAGTGTGTTCTAAGTGCGTTCTGTCTACCTCTCACACACTCCCTAACACACACGTACCCATGAGAGTAATAACTAAGTGTGTTCTAAGTGCGTTCTGTCTACCTCTCACACACTCCCTAACACACACGTACCCATGAGAGTAATAACTAAGTGTGTTCTAAGTGCGTTCTGTCTACCTCTCACACACTCCATAACACACACGCACCCATAAGAATAATAACTAAGTGTGTTCTAAGTGCGTTCTGTCTACCTCTCACACACTCCATAACACACACGCACCCAAGAGAATAATAACTTTGCGTGTTCTAAGTGCGTTCTGTCTACCTCTCACACACTCCATAACACACACGCACCCATGAGAGTAATAAGAGTGTGTGGAGAGGAGGCACTCATTGTGAATTAAATACCATTGATGCTGTAAGTGTGTCGTGTGGAAAACTTTTAATATACACACACTCTCTCTCACTCACACACGCACTCACGAAAGAAGAAAATAAGAGTGTGTGGAGAGGAGGGGAGACACTGTGAATTAAATAGAAGCGAAGTGTGTAGTGTGGAATCTCTCTAAACTCACACACACACACACACATTCACTCACACGCACACGTAAGAGGAAAATAAGCGTGTGTGTGTGTGTGTGTGTGTGTGTGTGTGTGTGTGTGTGTGTGTGTGTGTGTGGGTGGGAAGAGAATTCAATCATTGTGAATTAAATGACTCCATTGGCTCTATAAAGGCGAGGTATGTGCTGTTGAAAACCCCTTTATACACACACACACACACACACACACACACACACACACACACACACACACACACACACACACACACAAAAATGTGTGTTGATATTAAGGAAATACAACATAGTGAAAAAGAGTTCTTGTGACTTAAAATACATTACGATGCTAATATAATTTAATATAGTGTTATAATCTTATATACACCGTTATATATATGTATACACTATCTCCCTACACTGTAAACAAACCTCAAGAAAAATTTCCATATATAATCTCTAGGGAAATATTGTGAGGAGTAGGAATGAATATCAATTACTCTAGGGAAATGAGAGAATATTGGGAGATAATGTGGAGACTATGAGACCAGCCATCACACACCTGGATAGAGATTAATTACCTGGATAGTGGTTTACCCCCAAGAAGGAAATAATCACTAGAGATAATACTGGATGTTGGAAACACTGAGAGATAATGGGAATTAAATCTGTTTCTGATGATTTTTTAAGACGATGAGAGATAGTGACGTTGAGAGGAGAGAGAAAGACACACACACGCACAGAGAAGAGAAGACAGACAGAGAGCTATCTCTTAAGGCAGGTGAGTGAGGAAGGGTAACCCCCAGCTTCCTACACCTGTTAAATAATTGCCCCGAGGAGGTAGAGTGCTAAGGTGCCTCAGTGACCTACAGTGAACCTGGCACTTTGAACCTGACACCTGACACTTTGAACCTGACACCATGAACCCAAAATTTAATCCAACACCTTAAACCTAAAATTAAACCGAACACCTTGAACCCATAATGAACCTAACCTAACCCCAAAATCGTACCTGACTAATTGAACCTCCACACACCTTGAACTACTGTATTACCTGTGATACGTGTATTGTATTCTCGGTGTATTCTGAGTGTATGATTACGGTGTATATTTTGCTGTAGTGAAAAATAATAGAAAAAAAAGGTTACAGTAATATTCAACTTTTGTATTATTTTGTAGTGTTGTATTACTGATTTGTTAATACAGTAAAATACAAGCAATTGACAGAGGATACAGTTTCAACCATCTGCTCAGTATTAAATGAATTACAGTATTGCATTTTTTTTATACGAGATTCTTTGTGAAATCCTGTAATGTACTCTTGAGGTAATACAGTAAATTAAACCATCTACTGTAGTGCGAGTTTTACTGTATTTTCGTGGGATAATTTAATGTATTCCTGTATTGCATGAACCGACGGATACAGTGATGTATTTCTTGTATGAAAACAGTCCTGTAAGGGCGCCATCTTGAGTGGAATCTTTAATTATTCTCTTATATATCGAACCACCTGTTGTGTGTAGCCAGGTGGAGCAGTGAACCACCTGTTGTGTGTAGCCAGGTGGAGCAGTGAACCACCTGTTGTGTGTAGCCAGGTGGAGCAGTGAACCACCTGTTGCGTGTAGTCAGGTGGAGCAGTGAACCACCTGTTGTGTGTAGCCAGGTGGAGCAGTGAACCACCTGTTGTGTGTAGCCAGGTGGAGCAGTGAACCACCTGTTGCGTGTAGTCAGGTGGAGCAGTGAACCACCTGTTGTGTGTAGCCAGATACAGAGAAAAGATTGCCAACTACTACTACTACTACCACTACTACTACTACCACTACTACCACTATTACTACATAAAATAACAGTAAAGTACAACCCTCACAATTTACTTACACTTTACAACAACTTACAACACACTTCACTGCAATCAATAATCCCTCTCCCTCCCTCTCTCCATCCCTCCCCTCTCTCTCCTCCTTCCCCTCCCCCTCTCCCTCCTTCCCTCCCCTCTCTCTCCTCCTCCCCTCTCCTCCCCTCCCTCACCTTCCACTTCTTCGACACCAACATGACCCAATCGATTTACCGTATGAGTTATAGAGTCGATGGAACCTCAATTTTCTTTCCTCCCCTCCGACACACACACACACACACACACACACACACACACACACACACACACACACACACATACCTTTTTTAAAACACAACCATAGAACAGTTAA